TTGGGTGCTGATTGTATAAAGCATGGACAAGGTAGAGGAAGTTGGTGCTTGGGGAAAGTTTCAGAAATGCTATTTTCACCTAGTGCAAGCTGAAGCCAGATAACCTTGGTTTACTAGGCTGAGATGTCTGCCCAAAGTGGATGTGGGAATGAGTCCTGCTTACCACCGAGTGTGCCGCAGCAAGCAGGTGCCACACCATGAATGCCTGAAACCTGAGTTGGGCAAAAATTGGTTTTGCTCCATGTCAGTCTTTCATTGCTAGGCTCCCTTTTGAGCAGGAGGGAACATTCCCTGCTTCTGAGAGCAATTGGGCTATACCATGCCTCCTTCCCTCCTAGTTGGGTAGTAGATGATGTGAAAGACCTCTATCTGAGACCCTGGAGAAATGCTGCCAGTCTGAGTAGACAGTACTGACCTTGATGGACCAAGGCATTATTTTAAGGCAGCTTCATGTGTTCATACAACAAGGAGTCATGTCAGACTTTGGCTTTCGGGTGCATGGATGGGCTTTGGACCTAACTGATCACTTGGTTTTGGAGGACAGGAAAAAATGCTTCCCTCAGGCAATTTGGTGACAATGAAGTTGTGTGTGGCACTTATTGCTTTAGATATTTCCTGGTATCTTGTTTTCTGAAAGAATATCTCATGTGACACAAGACTATGTTTACGCCAGATCTTGACTCATGGCACACAGAAAAATGGATGGGCTGATTTCCCTATTAGAAAATAAGCCTATTAAAGTGCAGATAAATTAACTCCTGTGTTCTTGGACTTTCTGATACCACCATAGAAAAATTTCTGCAACTACTCAAAGCCATATCCAGGGTGCTACAGGTTGGTGCACTGTCCAACTGGAGCACTGATTTATTCCATATAGGATATCTTATATAGAGGGGGGGAAATATTTTTAAATTTGTGACCTGTCCACTTCCATTAGGAGCTGTGGTGGCTCAAGTGGTTAAGATGCTGAACTGCAGGCTGTGGAAGGTCAGTAGTTCAGCAGTTCGAGATCCGGGTGCTGCATGACGGAGTGAGCTCCCGTCTCTAGTTCCAACTCCTGCCAACCTAGCAGTTCGAAAGCAAGAAATTGCAAGTAGATAGATAGGTAGCACTTCAGTGGGAAGGTAACAGCGTTCCGTGCGCCTTGGTGTTTAGTCATGCCAGCCACATGACCACGGAAACGTCTTCGGACAGCGCTGGCTCTTCGGCTTTGAAACGGAGATGAGCACCGCAACCCTAGAGTCGGATCTGACTGGCTTTCGAGCAAGGGAACCTTTACCTTTACCACTTCCATTAAAATGTAAAAGCTTGTTTTTAGAATAAGCAACTTTGTAGTTTAAGAAACAGGCAGTAGTTAGTGAAGTGTGCTTGCACACAGAAGCTTATACTGTGACTAGAACTTTGTTGGTCTTAAAGGTGCCATTGGACTCAAACTTTGTTCTTCCTCCACAGTAATAGTGCTGTACACTCCATTTGAGTCTCTTGACTCTGCCAAGTAAAGATTCCTCTGGGTTGCCAGCATGAGGCTAGCAAATGTTGAGAGACTCGTGGGGGGGGGGCAACTGGGGGAGCACTAGTGGCATCTAGCATTTAGCCAAAACTCTGTGGTTTAACCTTGCTGCTGTCCCTGCAGCAGCCATTCCCCTGCCAGTGTCTGTGTATGTGTATGTCTGTGGAGGGGGGTATTATTTTTCTTAATCAGCAATTGAATAGCTATAGCACTATAACAACGTCTCTATTGGATTCTCTGAATTCTTAGTTTCTGGTTGTTGGTTGTTTTTTTGTGGGTTTTTTTTAAAGTCTCTAGCCTCTTTGTGGAGCTATTCATTTCACCATATATCTCCACAATGAAAGGTGCTAGAGACTGAAAAAGAAAGAAAGCTGGAAATTTATTGATATAAAACATTTATATGCCACTTTTCTACCCAAATAAGGGTCCCCAAGGTGGCAAATACCAAAACATTAAAACATTTTAATATTAAAACAACATATAAAATAAAGTGTACATAACAATAATAATTCGATAAAATATATAAACAAACATAACACCACAACCGGGAAGAAGGGCCAATAACAGTTTTTTGGGGGTATGCCAAACAAAACAAAAAAGGCTTTACTTGCTGGTGGAAGATAGAGGAAGACAGATAAATCTCCCAGGTGGGGACAGAGTTCCAACATTCAGCACCATGACCTAGAAGGCCATCCCTTGGTTGCCACTTGTCTATCCTCAGATGGTGGAAGTACTTGAAAATGAGCGGAGTGGACAGGTAGGTACGTATGGAAGATGGTATAGTTCTTAAGAGAATGTGGCTCACATACTGTTAGAATGTTATAGCAATATTCAGTTGTTGATTTTTTTTGAGAAGATAAAAAGGCCCTGGTGGTGCAGGAAGACAGCAGGTGGTTGCTCCTGGGAGACTGGGAAGCAAACAAGCAAGGAGAAGGTTGCCAACAATATAACCAGCCAAAAATACAAAAACACCCTTGACGAATGTAAACAGAATCTGTTTTTTACACAAATATTTATAGTGATATTATATAAACTAAAATGCAAACTACAAAGTGCATTATTACATTAAAAGACATACAAAATATAAGTGGGGAATAAACCCTGTTGAAATACAGTCTTAAAGGGACCGAGCCAATAAACAGTCCTCTTAGCCTGAAGGAAGAAGAAGAAACATTCTCTGCAACAGCCGAAGACAAGTCCCTTGGAGCATGAAGACATCAAGGTTTGTCACAACAGGCCTATTTCGAATTGATATCCATTAGTTTTCAAGAATTCACAAGCACATGGTGGCAAGCGTCCCGTAGTTACTAGGCGGCTATCTCAAGCTAGTCACTATGGGACGCTTGCCGCCATGCGCCTGTGAATTCTTGAAAACTAGTGGAAGTCCCCAAGCTTTATGAAGACTAATAGCTTGATAAAGATATCGATTCGAAACCTGCCATTTATGTTTATTTCCCGCTTGTATTTTGTATGTCTTTTAATGTAATAACGCCCTTTGTGGTTTGCATTTTAGTTTATGTAATATCAGTATAAATATGTTTGTAAAAAACAGATTCTTTTTACATTCTTCAAAGCTGGGAAACTGGGAGCAGGGACAGTGCAGGAAACCTGACATGTGGGAGCTTCATTGCCACTCTGCTGTATCAGCAAACACAACAACGGGGAAGCCACACAATCTTGTCCTGTGTGGAAATCACTACAGGGAACCTTTGCATATGCCAAGTAGCAGAATGATCCCCTCCCTTATAGCTCCCAGTGAAGTGAGTTTTCCAGTAATTAATCACTTGCCCTATTGTCTTATTTGTAAGTAAAGTGTGGGGGCTGGGTGCCTTAAGAACTACTACCTTCTGTAGGAAACTAAAAGGAATTAAATGTAACAGGTGGCACAAGATAATCGGAGTCAGAATAGGAAGTAATTCTTGTTTAGTAATTAGGTATAATAGGAGTCAGTGGATGAGCTGGAGAACACTTTCTATTAATAAAAGGGGGTGAATAATATAATAGACTGCTGGAAAATTCTGTATCATTGTTCACTATAAAATTTAATAAACTGTGAATAATAAAAAAGAACTACTACCTTCTCCAATATGGATCTACCTGTAAAAATAGCTAGTGAAGTCTTGCTTGATATCCTACTACCCCCAAAAAATCATGGTCTGACTACACAGTACAGGGCCTTTTTGGTCAGTGTGCTGTGGTTATGGAATTCCCTTTCCCTTGAATGCAAGTTTGGTAATCTCCCTGTTAACTTTTCATAAAATGGTTTTGTTTAGGAAAGTTTTGATCTGGGTTAGTTAAATTTAATGCTCTGTTCCATTGGTACTAATAAATGACACCTAGGACTGTGTAACTAACTTGTTGGGTGATACTGTGTTCTAACTAGGGCTGCCAATTCCCCCCGGGGGCGGATTTCCCCCCGCTTTGGAGGCCCGATTTCCGCCACCGCAGAATCGGGCCCCGGGAGAAAGCCCACCCCGGCATGCATGTCAGCTGGATGTGACGTGCTGACGCCGGGCACGCTGGGGGCGGGGCCACAGCCATCTGAGGGGAAAACTCTATGTTTTCCCCTCAAATGGCTGTGGCCCTGCCCCCAGCGTGCCCGGCGTCAGCACGTCACATCCGGCTGACGTGTATGCGGCGCACGCGCGCAAGACGCCGTCCGGGAGCCCCCCGCCGCAGAACAAAAGGTATTTGGCAACCCTATTTCTAACCTACCTCACAGGATAGTGATGTGAAGCTGCTTAGGGTCCCCATTGGTGAAAAAGGAGGGATATAAATGAAGTAAGTAAATAAATAAGTGTTGGTGGTAATAGTCACTCACTGTTCCAAACTATCAAACTGGCTAGAAACAGAGATATTCTGTAAAATATTCACACGTAGTCTGAAGCAAATGGTAGAACCCCCCACCATTCTCAGAGTGTCACCCCTCAGACTAAGACGTGGTATTATTGCAAGATCTTTAAGGTCTTTGCTAGTGAGTTGTTTTTATGAAGTAAATTTTTAGTATGTTAGACATTTATGTGAAATACAACATTTGGGCCTTATTTTACTCCTTCCTGTTTCTTGTTGGTTTAAATTATTTTTGTGTTTGCTATAATATAGAGTATAGAAAACTGGACAGGGGGATTAAGATTGGGAATAGTGTGATGCTATGAAAATGGGTCATATGAGCTTTGGGAAATGTTATTGAGAGTAAAGAGGAGGCTTTTTCTAGGAGTGAGACTAGGAAAGTGGAGAAGAAGGAAGGTTAAAAGTTTGGAAATTCAAGAGGCTGCACTGGGATGCAGATGTATGTGTAAAATATGGGGAATATTTTAGATTCATATTAATTGTCCTGTAGTACTACTTTTTAAAACAGTAAATGTAGAAAATTCAAGAGGAAAATCCTCATAATCACAGGATAAATAAACTGACTGATAAAGGGAGTAGAGGAAGGTCTGACTCAGATTAAACTGCATATGAATCAAATATTTTTTCCCTAATGCTCTAGTTTCTCACATGGTCATTGAGGAAGTCAGTTGCATACAGAACCACCTTGAAATTGAGAAGACATGTCGTGAAAGTGCAGAAGCTCTGGCTACAAAGGTAAGAAGCCATTGATTTTTCTTGGAGGACAGAAGTCAAAGATATACACTGATCTTGGGGTTTTTTTTAGGGTTGTGGATCTCTGATTCAACATTCCCAGTTTTCTGAAGTCCTCTGACAAGTGTCACTATATGTGAACAGCTCTTCAAAGCTTCAAGCAAAGAACCCCCCCACGCACACACTTGTTATCTAAGGTTCTTGAGCTGGAGGTGTGAAATGAACCATGTGCACTTCCTTTGGGCCATTGACTCATCTCTCCTGTTTTCTTCTGGACTATTTGGCAGGCTGGAGGAACCTTATATTCAGCATAGGTGACTGGCAGTGCAGTCCTATTTAGAGTTACTCCAGCCTTAGCTACACATAAGAAGGTTAAGCAAAATGTATGTAGATGCAATTGACTCTCTCATGCTTCCAGTGTGGTTTGTGCTGCTTCAGATGTGGCAGAATTCCTACACTGAAAGCTCTATTGTGTAGCAAATCATGAGCAACTTGTGTTTAACTCATTGTAAGATAATTGGGTATGCATATATTTTGCAGCAATAATCAGCTAAATACACAGACCTGGTATGCGGCATTCTTCATATTGGTTGCATGCTATTTGCTGTGTGAAATAACTTTTTATGTTATGCTATTTCAGAAGCAGATCTGAGTTTTAATGCTTTGGTCTGGGGATGGAAAAAGGAAGGGACTGTGGCTGTGTATTTTTGGACAAGCAATTATTATTTGTAAATATGTTGACTACCCAAAGAGAAAGATTTACTTGAGTAGGTTTAAACAGCTTTTTTAAAATAAAAATGAAAATGAAAAGTGACACCAAACAGCAAATTCAGGTAATGTTTAGCTATTTAGCTTCTCATTTTATGCATCTGAGTTAACTGATAAACAGATTAAGACATATCCTGTGAGTTTGTGATATGAAAGAATAATCGTCATTTCATGCCTGAATCAAACGGAAAAGTCAGCCAGAATATTTCAGGTGATTGTTTATGAAAGCCAACCAAAGGGCAGGCAAAAGGTGATCTGTACTGTTCTGTTGATTGCAGCTAGGTTGATGAATTTACCAAGTGTATAATTTTCTATGTTCCATCTCATCAGAAGTACATTATTATTAAAGAATGTTTTATTTCTTTGTGATATATATATGGTTGGGGGAAACACAATTTGAGCCACTTCATCATCAGGAAATGGATTGCAGCAATTTTTAACAAAAATTTCATTAGTAATGCTGGCTGGTCTGTGTGCATTTGTGCATTTTTCCTGCCCAAAGTATATCTTCAGATGTGGCAGAAATCCCACTAGAAGAAAATGTCTTTTAATTTAGATGCGTTAGCAATGTGCTTTCTAGAGGTATTTACGTAATTGTTTGCATAATGATACTACATTAGAATTCGTAAGGTAGTCAATCAAAAAAATAACTAAGAAAATGAATTTATGTATGTAACTGTCTTTTCTTTCCATTCTTTGTACATAGTGACACACTCTGACAGCAAAGAGACTAGCACATTTCTGTCAGTCTGCCTTGTCAGAGCTGACTCATCTGCTTCATACATGGTGTCCAAGCTATGTTGAGTGCCTCACATTTTCTGTTCAGATCTTTAAGGGAGTAAAATCACTTAAAGGAACTAGCAGTGTGAGGTTCCTGGAAAGATCTGCCACTTTGATAAGCCAGGACTGAAAACTGGGACTGAAAAAGAGGGGAATGGGCATCAAGATCAATTTCTTGTTACTTGAGGATTTAATGTCTTAGAGTGACCTTAGGTGTTATGAAATGCAGTGGGAACTGAAAGCACAAGTGCCCTGCATTCCCTTTATGGTTCTTGATAGAATCCGAACCCCAGCTTTTTGTCCTCTCTTTTGTGACTTGTATGCGCCGTGCTTGCATCTTGACCTCTCTTCGTCATGGTGGTGGTGAATGGAAAGGAACGCACAAACGTATTCCATAAGTTCAGAAGCTTTTGGTTGCTTTCAAGCAATCCATTAACCCCCCCCCCCCGATTTAATAGTCTTGCTTTAAGAAATGTTACAGCGCAGTTGCTCATTTATATTGCATGTCTGTGCACTATACCAGTTGCTCTGGTATGCGGTCAGCGGCCCCATGTGCTCAAGAGGTGCTGTAACATTTCTGTGTTGTGGAAGGTTCCTCTGGTTTTTTCAAACCCCCCATCATGCACACATAACATACACATCTTGTAAGGTTAGGTCAGTGTTATTTTAGATAGGGAACTGAGACTGTGAGTTTGATGGTGGCATCTCTGTAGTATCAGAATATAGGGTTGCCAACACACCTGGGGAAACATGTCTTTTCCGTTTAACAGAGGTTTAATGTGTCAAAATGGGCAGCTGAAGCTTTTCATGACATGGAGATAAGTAACTACATGGTTAATAACACCCCATCAAGCTTCTGTTAAAGAGACAGGACATTTCCCCCCCCCCCAGGCAGTTGACAACCCTCCACAGAAAAGGGGATTCCATTTCATGGTGTGTGTGGGTTTCT